ATGACTAACGTACGTGTTGGTAGACTGACTAACGTACGTGTTGGTAGACTGACTAACGTACGTGTTGGTAGACTGACTAACGTACGTGTTGGTAGACTGACTAACGTACGTGTTGGTAACTGACTAACGTACGTGTTGGTAGACTGACCGACGTACGTGTTGGTAGACTGACCGACGTACGTGTTGGTAGACTGACCGACGTACGTGTTGGTAGACTGACCAACGTACGTGTTGGTAGACTGACCATATCAGATTTATTTTTAACTTTTATGAGTTTTGTTGCAAACCGAAATATTGTTCACTGTGGTAAAGAACCTATCTGAATATTTTCAAATATGGGAGTAACTGTAACTTAAATTTGCAAGTGTTCAGTAACGCATCTTAAATTAGATAAGAAATAACAAGTATTTATGTGTTACAAGATTCAAGCAATTTTTTGAATGATTGAAAATCACATTTTTCGTACATATTCCTTGAATTTGTTTCATGCAAATGATTATTTGTGAATGAAGTTATGTGTGTGTGTGTGTAAGATGCAATTTGTTTGTGAGATATTCTATATAGAAATTTAAACGAACTATAGTCTCACGTGTATAACTAAACTCGTTCACATAGTCTTAGAAATATGTAATATTATCTGGGGAAAAAAATATCGCAGTTCTTAAATTATTTTTTGTATTATAGCATAATCTACTTCTCAATAAACTTTTAATATTACCTAAGCTAAATTGGCATTACACCAAAGGTGTAGAAAATGTAACTGCGGTTTGTTTTTTTTAATTACTTTGTAAGTGTATTCATGCATAAATAACCTTTACTATTTGTTACCAACTTGTTGTATTCCATTTACTGTCTGTGGGGTAATGAGTGAAATCATGTATTTTATAGCTAAAAAAAAACACGTAGGGAACTTCAGCAGTGACTATTGAGATCGGTTGTAATATTGATGGTGTTTTGTTTAAATTTTCTTTTTGTGTGACTTATAACTTTAACAGTAGCTACCCTGTAACCAACAAAGTTGTAGACCCAGTAACATTTTGGTGGATGTATTTAAGACACTGATAGGGGTCCATTTGGATCATATGGGATATTCTAGGGTTAACTGTTAGATTCTGACTGTTACTCCTCATTTCCCAGAGCTGCTCTATCAGAAGTTACAAAAGATTTCCAGGAGAGATTGTATCGCTGGCAACAGATCGAGCAACTGTGTAGTTTTCCCATTGTTCACAATCCAGGCTTAAAGTACTTGGAGTCAAAGCTGCAAAAGGAATGTATGAATGGACTTATTAGTTACCCTTATTATACAGGTTAAGTAAAAAAAAAAAAAAAGTCACCATTACAAAAGAAAGCTTCAGTCCATTACCGAGTGCTAAAATTTATTTACTTTGATTCTACAGCACAAAAATCGAAGTTAAAACTGGAAGCATAAGATGAAAATTAAGAAAATAATATGGTAACTTGATAATTTTGTGTGATGTTCTAGCCCTAATTGTATGTTTTTTATTTCTGTTGTTTCTGGTAACTCTTGCATGTACCTTCTCTTGATGCTGTTGATTCTTCATAAGTTTGTAAGAAAAGTGATAGTGTTACCCACGAATATAGTGCTAGATAGAGAGTGAAAGTTTGTAAGAAAAGTGATAGTGTTACCCACGAATATAGTGCTAGATATAGAGTGAAAGTTTGTAAGAAAAGTGATAGTGTTACCCATGAATATAGTGCTAGATAGAGAGTGAAAGTTTGTAAGAAAAGTGATAGTGTTACCCATGAATATAGTGCTAGATATAGAGTGAAAGTTTGTAAGAAAAGTGATAGTGTTACCCATGAATATAGTGCTAGATATAGAGTGAAAGTTTTTGAGAAACGTGATAGTGTTACCCAAGAATATAGTGCTAGATATAGAGTGAAAATTTGTAAGAAAAGTGATAGTGTTACCCATGAATATAGTGCTAGATACAGAGTGAAAGTTAGTAAGAAAAGTTCAGTTTCACACATAACAATACAGCTAGGTTACCAAACTAAAAAGAAAATAGTCATTTTGAGAAGTTAATTTTGGTATTTCATGCACGTTGGCTCTTGTTTGTATAATTGTTTATTTCAAAATGGTATTATCATGCCAGACTAGTATTAATACCTCTTTATATCATTTTAATCCTATTAGGAGAAACCTGCAAATAAACACATAAAAAGTTTAATATTGCTCTGTGTTTGGATTGGAATGGTTTCATGAACAGTCAGATTATAACCCTTTTTTCTTTATTGAGGAATATGTTGAATAGTTTTATGCTTTTGTGGTGGGTACTTTTAACTGTTTTGGATGGAGAAAGTGGGTACTTTTAACTGTTTTGGATGGAGAAAGTGGGTACTTTCAACTGTTTTGGATGGAGAAAGTGGGTAATTTTAACTGTTTGGGATTGAGAAAGTGGGTAATTTTAACTGTTTTGGATGGAGAAAGTGGGTACTTTCAACTGTTTTGTATGCAAAAATGGGTACTTTTAACTGTTTTGGATGGAGAAAGTGGGTACTTTTAACTGTTTTGTATGCAAAAATG